GTCTCAAAAACAACAGCAACAACAGAATTTCTTGCTGAAACTTTACAAACTTGCCTCTATCTCTGCATTGCTCTCAACACAACATTCTTACTCCTACAGAACAGCTCAATAAGCTCCGAACAGTCAATGGCTTTTCTTGCCCCAAGTTCCAAAGTTCTTCTACAATCCTCCCCAAAACAACATGGTCATATTTGTCACAACAATATACCATTCCTGGTACCAATTTTTGTCCAAGTTATGGTTACCATTGTTGTGATGAAACACCATGACCAAAAGCAACTTGGGGAGGAGAGAGTTTATTTCACATTTTGCTCACAGTTCTCAAAAACAGTTCTTCATCAACAGCAGTGAGGGCAGGAACTCACACAGGGCGGGAACCTAGAGGCAGGAGCTGAAGCAGAGACCATGGAGGAGTGCTGCTTACCGGCTTGCTCCTTGTGACTTGCTCAGTCTGCTTTCTTTCTTTTTTTTTTTTTTTGGTTTTTCAAGACAGGGTTAACTGTGGCTTTGGAGCCTGTCCTGGAACTAGCTCTGTAGACCAGGCTGGTCTCGAACTCACAGAGATCCACCTGCCTCTGCCTCCCGGCTAATGAGCCTAATTGAGATTATCACCTATATAGCAATCTTTGAGCAAAACAGAAAAGCTCAGCGCTTGAATCCTAGCACTCACATCAAATGGCTCATACACACTTGTAACTTCAGCTCCTGGAGAGTCCAGTGCCCCTTTCTGTCTTCCTTAGGCACTGGCACAAACACAGGCAAAATAAATAAAATATGCTGGGCATGATGACTGTGCTTTTAGTCCCAGCACTGGAGAGGCAGAGGCAGGCAAATCTTTGAGTTCAAGGTCAGTCTGATCTACAGAGCTGGTTCCAGGACAGCCAGTGCTGTTACACAGAAAAACCCTGTCTCGAAAAGCCAAGAAAAAAAATGGTTACCTGTGACTGCAAAGCCTTTATTTGCTCTGGCCCTTTATAAAATTTACTGACTCCTTTTGTACAAGAGCCTCTTATGATTCTCCAAGAGACTTCGCTGTTTGTAAGAATCTTTACTATATTGCTTTGCAGCTACCACACCCCTCGAATGTTCTTCATTAAGTATCATTATATATTTTCTTTAGTTTGTGTAGAGTTAGACCCGTAGCCCTTAAGGCAATGGAGGAGGCTGAAACTGGCATTTGCAAGTGGATCTAACTACTGGGTTACAGTACTATCAATGTATTTGCTAGTCAGTGATGCAGAACTCCAGGCTTGTTTCGGGCTTCTGTGTACAGCCCAGTAGGAAATGGGAGGGGGAGATTGAGAAGGGGAGATCAGGAGGACAAATTGGGCTTCTGTGGGAGTGATAGTTAGACACAGGGTGGGCGTCCCAAAGGATCACAGGGACAATTTTCCCTCCCTAGTCCATTACATGCTATTAGTTTGATTACTCAGCAGAGGGGGCAGGTAGGTTGAGCTGCTATCCAGGAGAAACGTCCCTCCAAAGTCTATTCTGGCCTTGGTACTAGCATCATAATTTTGCAGATAAGGAAACTGAGGACAACGCTGTGACTTGACCAAGATCGCAGGTCTAAGTCCCTCTGTGTGTTGTCTGCAAAGAAGCCGTAACAATGCAAACATCACAGAATTGTGGCTTTCTGCAATGTGTGCCACTTAGCGAGTCCTTCTGCGCCCCTACCCATTTTCGCAGAATGTTAATAGCTAGCATTTGGAGATACTTCTTGCGTACCATGGTAGTGACTATTAACTCAGAAACTTCTCAACGCTTATCATCACTGTCATTTTGGCTGCCTGCAGCCACAGGCCTTATTAGTCTATAGCCATAGCCTTTATCTCAGACTAATCACCCGACTACGTCATCGCCAAGCGCAGCAGGAGTCCCCGAGATGTCCCTTCTGAACGTCCTCCTTCTTTGATTTGCTCTCGAATCAGTGCACAGCACGATCGATGCCAGTCCGTAGGGCTCCTAAAACGACAGGCCTGGAACTGAGAACGGCAGTCATCGCAATCAGAACAATGGCGGCAGTGGATGGGGGGGGAGTTGGGGGGGGGGGCGCAGCGCTAGGGGCAGATCCGGGTCTCGAACCAGTGAGTCATGCTTTGCGCAGGCGCAGAACGATCCGCGCTCGTCTATTAGGTGAACTCGCGAGAGGTGTGTGTGTGCCAGAGGCGTTGGAGGCGGACTAGATCCGCGCTGTGGGGTGGACGTGGGCGGGCAAATTAAAACGCTCAGCCCAATGGAAAAGAAGGGATCAGGTGCCCGGGGCCACACAGGTCGCCGGGAATTAGGCGGTGCGAGCCCAGGGCGGAGTTTGAGAAAGGGGCAGCGCTCAGTGAGTAGCGGGGAATGGGGACTGGGGGGTGGGGGGGAGGGGGAGATTGGCCAGCTTTGATGGCCGTGTGGAAAGGGGGCGGTGGCTTGGAACTGGCGAGGGAGCTTGGTTAAACGTTAGGCTCTGAGAAGGGGGTGGGGTCTAATGGATTCTGCTCAAAAGGGGCAGTCTTCTGAGCAGCGGGACGCGGTGAAAGGATCGGGTCGTGATCAGAAGGTGTGGAAGGTGCGGGTTCGGCCGGATAGGAGGTGGAGTTGAGTGGGTCTTTAAGGGTGGTGCCGAGGCCACCGCAGCCTGGCCTCGCAGTTTAGAAGGGTCTTTGATTGTCCGGGGAGATAGGCTGAAGAGGGCAGGTTGCGGAAGCCAAGCATTCTGGGCGAGGACGAGAGGTATGAAAGGGCTTGGGAAGTAGAGGGGTGGGGGGCGGTGATTGGAAAGGGCAGGTCTTAGAAGAGCCGGATTGAGCCTGGGATTACCTTGTTTAATGAAAAGGCAAGATGAGGAAGGAGAATCGTATAAAAGCAGCGAGGTCCAGGAGAACAGAAGACACCAGGTTTCCTCTGTGGCAGAAGATGGCCTAGAGGGGCGGGGTTTAGAAGGCACTGGTAGGGAACAGCATGTAGGATGCGGTCTAGAATGGGGGCGGGGCCTGGAAAGGGTTAGCGATGTGGGGTCCTCTGGATACTCCAAGGACCTCATCACCAACCTACACCCCTGCTAGAGCCGTTCCAAGAGCGAAGGCCCTTCAGCCATGACCTCCACCGGCCAAGATTCTTCTACCAGGCAGCGAAAGAGTAGGCACAATCCCCAGTCGCCCCCTCAGGACTCCAGCGCCACCTTGGTAAGGCTCCAGCCCGGCCCTGATGGGGGGGGGGGGGGAGCCAGCCAGCCATGTCCAGACTCTGATCTTTTTCTCTGATTGGCAGAAGCGAAGTGTTAAGAAGGGTACTGTAACCCACTCCAGCCCCAATCTAGCAGAGGTAAAGAAGAAAGGGAAAATGAAGAAGCTCAGCCAAACGGTTGAAGAAGACCTGATCGTGGGGCTTCGAGGGCTGGTGAGAGAATCCTGGCTGCAGTTTAGCCTTCTTTACCAAACAAAACAATGATTTTCCCCATGCTGGACAGTATGCAGTGTTTTCTCTGATTGGGGACCTGAATGAATCTGTGTTTCTTTCTTTGCCCCTGCAGGATCTGGACCCTGAGACAAGAGTATTGGTTGGTACTGGATTGGTGTTTGATGAGCAACTAAATGACTTCCACTGCCTTTGGGATGACAGGTGAGGCTGGGACCCCCAGATTGTCCCCCAGTAGAAAATTTACACATTTGCCTTCCCCTCCACCAAGCAAGAGTGAATTTGTTCTTATTCTGGCTCATAGTCTGGAGGCAGATGATTTAGGGAGGTAGGGATCATTCTTGAAAGAGTTTTGTTTTAAGCTATCTTATCTATCGATGTGTCTACTGTGTGCCAAGAGTTGGTGATCTATGTGAACAAAATAGAAAAATCGCTTCTCAGCTGATTGGTGAGTATGAGGGGGGAGGTCATTAAACAGCCAACAACAGTGTTAAGTTTTTTTTTTTTTTTTTTTTGGCTTTTCGAGACAGGGTTTCTCTGTGTAGTTCTGACTGTCCTGGAATTCGCTCTGTAGACCAGGCTGGCCTAGAACTCACAGAGAGCCGCCTGCCTCTGCCTCCCGACCGGCTAGCCTTAAATCTTTGGTGATAATCCTGTCTTAGCCTTCTGAATGCTGAGATGACAGGCATGAGTTACCTACCGCACTTGACTAGAAGTATTTATTAGAGGGCCCTAGACTAGTTAGCATGCAGAGTCACAGAGCCTCCCTTGAGAACGAGACAGTTATACTGAAATATACTTCTCATCTGCTCTACTTTCCAAAAGAATCTGCTTATTCCTTTTGGCTTTATGTTCAAAACATATTCGCTATCTGACTCTCATTGATCGGTCTCCCTGCTTCCAGTTTCCACATTGAAGCCTAAAAAATGTTTCAGACGATGTTCCCCTCCTTAAAATACTTCAAGGGCAGAGCATTGCTCTTAAGGTAAAGTCTGAATTCTTTATCCCGGCCTCTAAGGTTCCACGTGATTTGGCTCCACGTCACCCTTTGTGACCGACCTAGTCAGCCAGTCCTTATTTGCTTCAGTTCACTTCACCGACACTGGTCCTCTTGCTGTGCTTTCGGCGTGCTAGGCACCCTCTAGGCATGGGTCTTTACCCTTGATTGATCCCTCTTTTAACTGTCTTATCTTAGATATCTTACCAGCCTCTGTGATGGTCTGTTAATCATTGCACTAATATTTACAAATATAGTGGCTCTCCCCGATCCTGACCTAAAACTAACTCATGATGTCAAAAGCTTTTATTTATGGTCTCCGTTTGTTAAGGAGCTAGGGATACAGCAGTAAACCAAACTGCCTTCGAAGTCATCAAGAAAAGTGTCAGAGCAGGGCTGTGCAGAATAACTGAGCTGGGAGGGAGAGGAATGTTTGAGGGGAAAGGGTGTTGTCATTTTTTTAATACAACAGCCAGGGAAGGCACTGCTGACATTTGAATAAAAATACCGGGGGAGGGACATTAAGGGAGTGAGCCATGGAGTCATTATGGAAAAGAGTGTTCTAGACAAAAGAAAGTCTACGGACCTGACTGAAAGGTATATGTTCAATTGAAGATCAAGGAGACCATTACAGGTGAAATAAAGTGAAGGATGCGGCATGCGACAAGAAACAGGGACAGAAAAAGGATGGGGACACGGTTTTTAGGTCCTTCCAGCTCTAATAAAGATTTCGGGTCCTACTGGGAATGGAGTAGGAGCTACAAAAGGGTTTTGACTTTTCACCACTGACTGCCATCTACAGAAGGGGCTGTTGGGGGAGGGGGTGTAGAGGTAGGGAGGTTCTTGAGATGGCGACTGGCAGACAGCTCAGACTGGAGCTTCTGCTGGCGTGAATGGTAGCGGGGAGGAAAGTGTAAGACTTCAGAAATGACAAGAGGAAAGGCTAAATGGCACAGGAAAGAGGTGAACAGCTATGGGAGGCGAGCTGGGAGGTGTGGCTAAAGCAGACGTGGTTCATAGTGTCTTACTTGACTGGGTGGGTTATATGACTGCATCTCCACCTCCCCAGTTTCCCTGAATGCCCTGAGCGGCTCCATGCCATCAAAGAGCAGCTGATCCTGGAGAGCCTGTTGGACCGCTGTGTGTCCTTTCAGGTGAAGCCCCCCAGCATGCGGGTGGTGGGCAGGGACCTGGCAACACTAAGGCATAGCCTATGCTCTAGCCCCTTTATTCCTCATGTCTCCCCAGGCCCGGTTTGCTGAGAAGGAGGAGCTGATGTTGGTTCACAGGTGAAAACTTGGGAGCTTGGTAGGGTGGGAGGAGGATGCCCTCACCAGGACAGAATCCCATAGGCTCTGTGGCCGGCCTTGGGCAAGTCCCTGAGCCTCTCTAAATCTGTTACTGCTCAAAAACCTAACTTCCAGCCAGGTGTGATGCTGCATGCCCATAATCTCATTACTGGGATGTGAAGACAAGACAATCAGGAATTCAAGACAATCCTCAGCTATATAGCAGGTTCAGTCTGGGTTACATGAGACCCTGTCTGAAAAAGCCTCTAACCACCCTAAAGAAAAGAAATCTCAGTTTTTCAGGAGGGTCAATATGTGTGTCAGGTACCTGACAGCATCTAAGATCCTAAGCCTCTGATGGGCTAGTGTTCTTATAATGTGGTTAGTTAATTGATGGTGAATGTCTGGCAGAGTGATCAGGAGGCTCCTAGGGGGCTGTAGGAACTCAAAGGAAGAGGCCTGGTACAGTGTGGTTCACAGAAAACTAGCTTGGCAGAGAGTATCTGAGTTGAGCTCCAAGAGGCAAAAACGGGGGTGAATCCAATGAAAATAAGAGCTGAGGTGGGCTAGAGGAGAAATAGGAACCGTGGCCTACATCCCAACCAATCCCCTAGGTGGGCTGGAGGTCTGATTTGGCCAGAGACCTGGTTTGTAGAAGGTATGGCTGGGGAGGAAACAGGGCTCTCAGACCTATCCCCTATCTTGTGTCCCCAGCCTGGAATACATTGATCTGATGGAAACAACCCAGTACATGAATGAAGGAGAGCTTCGCATACTAGCAGGCACCTATGATTCCGTCTATCTGCATCCGGTATGCATGAGAACTGTGAGGTCAGGGTGGGGCAGCAATTCCGGGGTCTCCCATGTCTGTGCCAACTTCACTGTGGGAAGAAAGCTAAGTTGATAGGCCAGTCCTTTCTCATTTCTTCTCTTTGGCTCTCCACTGTCTCTAGAACTCATACTCATGTGCCTGCCTGGCCACAGGCTCTGTCCTCAGGCTGGTAGATGCGGTCCTGGGGGCTGAGATTCGGAATGGCATGGCTGTCATCAGGTAGGACTCTCAAGCATTTGACTTCTTACATTTTTATTTCATTTTATTTGTTTTTTTTTTTTTTTAAAGACAAGGTTCCTATGTCTAACCCTGGCTGTCCTGGCACTCGCTCTGTAGACCAGGCTGACCTCAAACTCAGAGATCTGCCTGCCTCTGCCTCCCAAGTGCTGGGATTAAAGGTGTGCACCACCGCTGCTACTTACATTTAAAAATAATCTTTCTACCTAATGGTGCATGGAGGTAATACTTTTGAGGTGGAAGGATCAGGAACTCAAGGCTAGCTTGAACTACATTGTAAATTTGAGGCCAGCCTGGGCTACATAAGCTACTTTCTCAAAAAATAAAGTCCTCTCTCAAATGTAAAATGTGTTATTTCGGGTACTATGTCTTCATATGGTCGAAGAGTCTCTTTGTTTAACTTTCTCTTTTTTTGAGACAGTCTCACTGTATTGTTTTGTTTTCCAGACAGGGTTTCTCTGTGTAGGGTTTCTCTTTGTCCTAGAACTGGCTCTGTGTAGACCAGGCTGGCCTCAAACTCACAGAGATCAGCCTGCTTCTGCCTCCAAAGTGCTGGGATTAAAGGTGTGTGCCACCAGTGCCTGGCATATGGGTACATTTTAATGGTTATTTTTAAATCTTTTTTGGTGAGAGCATTGGATTGGGGGTTGTGAAGCTTCAGAAGCCACAGTTACTCAGTTGCTGGCAGATTCACAGAATCTATGCCGAAAGAATTGGGAGTGCGGGAGGAAGACTCCCAAACCTGTAGCCTTCCCTTTTCTGCTTAGGCCTCCTGGACACCATGCCCAGCGCAGTCTTATGGATGGGTACTGCATGTTCAACCATGTGGCTGTGGCTGCCCGCTATGCTCAAAAGAAGCACCGCATTCAGAGGTCAGCACCAAATGACAGATGGAATTTGGGTACCATGGTCTAGGCTGTTCCTCCATATTTCACTTGATCCCTTGTACAAAACTCCTCTCTTTCCTGCTCACAGGGTTCTGATCGTGGATTGGGATGTGCACCATGGTCAAGGAACGCAGTTCACCTTTGACCAGGACCCCAGGTATATCCCAAGTCCCAGCCTAAATACTGGAGTCCTGGCTACTTGTTAGGCCCAGTCAGTCATAGGTGTTAGGAAGAAGGGAAGGGCGTTCATGTTCTTTAGGTGGCCGGGACTGAGGAAATGCGCTGCTTTCTGGTTGTCTGCTATCTCCTAATTTTACTCTGAAGCAAGAACTGTGGAGTTCCCATTTTACA